AACGGGTTGAGGCTTGGCTAGGACGTTCGGTGGATAGGTAGTCTTCTAGGTTGTCTGCTTCCCCGGGCCAGCTATCCGCGGGATCCACAAGCTTAGATACAAATGCCATATACTATATAATTCTAGGCCTACCTTCCTACTTCGTAAGGTCCCCAGGGCTTTGGATAGTTTTAAGAGCATAGTAATTACTCGACATCCTCCGGATGTCACTGCCACCAAGTATACCTACACTATGTCGTAACCGATAGGGAGTACCTAAACGACAGACATATGATGTACCTAATAAAAGGAAAAGCCGGGATACTCGGCCAGCAACTTTGGTAGGTCGTAAATCATCAGTTAAATCCAGCCATTTCCACGCCACAGCTTCAGTCACTCTCGATGTACAAACTCAACCCCCGAACGCCACGCTGAGACCCCGTGTCAGTAACAAGATTCCAGTCCATATGCTTTCCCATCGCAAAGCTGCTCCCGCTCTCGACCATCACCGGAAAGGGATAATGCATGCTAACTGAAACCCAATGAAAATCATATCATATATGGTCCATCGTTTGCTTGGTACAGAAGAGAAAACAAGAACCTTTTGATACAAGTGATAATGGTCCAAGTTATGAGGGCATATGATATCTGCCAGTTCCAGCCTGCAGATCTCTCCTCAGTGCTCAAACTTGATTCGAGAACCGCCAACATTGCCTCTCATCAAGGCTTTCTCATCAAGGCCTCGATATCGACATCGACCCATCTCACTGCCCTCGGCATCGACGGCTGTACGTGCTGAGGTGGCGTCGTTCGCTGCTTAATCTGCTGTCTCACGTGTAGACGGTCGATTAATTCTTTGGAAATGCAATCGAACGTAGATTTTAGGGATACGGAGTCGTCCCATTTCTCACCATACTTCGCTAACGTCCGCGAGGTCCTCTCCAGGCAATCAAGACTCCTCTCCACGTTATCCGTCACGGGGCCACCTGGCCGGGTGGGCAGGGGAGGAGGGGGTGTTTTGCCTAATTCAACAGGGGGCGGAGGGAGAGTGACGCCGGAAAGAAGCAAATCGCCCGCGTCTCGAAGCACTGCTATGAATTGGTTTGCCATGAAGAATACCCGCAGCGCGTCGTGGTATGTGTAAAACGCAGTGTTCATGCCGCTGTGCGCGATTTCGTATATTCTATCAAGATAGGCGATGCTGTGCTCGAAGATGAGCATCCGACCATAATCGGTAAGCCGAGGAGCCCTTGCCGAAGGCGATATGCAGTAGACAAAACTGTAGCGTAACTCGAGTTCGAACAGGTCCCGCATGCCCAACGGTAGGGTGCGAGGAAGTGCGTCAGCCCAGTCTCTCATATCTTGGTACACCTCCCAGATAAAGGAGGATGAGTCCATCAGCGGGGTCGTGTCCGCCTGGAACAAGGCCTGATACCAATGCGACTGGGCCCGACGCAGTTGGAAAAGCAAGAAAGCAGGCTCGCAATTCGGGAGAAACTGGCCAGCTAATGACGCCTTCCGACTGAACGATGAAGGTCTCGGCCAAGCAACATTGGTTGCTGCATCTGAGAATGAGAAAGCGCGCGCGTGGACCATACTGATAGACCTAATACGGGATATATAAGTAAGTATGGAGAACATCTCTAAGACATGACTTTCTCAAACTGACCTGTCTAGCGAGTAAACACAGTAAAAAGTCTTCCTTCTTACATCCAGCACGGCTTTATCGGAGAGTTGCTCACTCGGCGGGTCCTGGTGAAAACCCAAGTCTATTACTGCTCGACACGTGAAGCCTATCAGGTGCCAACTATCAAAATGAGCAGGGTCGAGCATAGAGTACTGGGTGAGGAGAATGAGTGACTGTATTTGCGCAGTATAACCGGGCATAAGAGCTCGGTCAGCATAGTTCAGGGCCTTTGAAACAAAATGAAGACCCTTGATATAGTGCTCATCGTTCTTCACTTGACTCTGCACAGTTGACCCAATGGCTAAGACCATATACAACAGCCAATAATCAGAGTCTTTGATCGTCCGGTCCTGTATCGAGTATACCTGGTCCAAGACATTGTAAAGCAAAGTCTCGGGAAACGCGGGGAAAAGCGAGTAAACGCTGGTCATGTAATGTTGAATGAGCGCGATCGCCTCTTGCCTGGATGGCAAATGCCAGTTCTTGCTATTCGGAAGAGGGTCGTTAGAAGCAGCAGCCAGAGCGACTCGAGCAAAGGTCATATTGGACATGGATGGCTCAAAATCCCTCGTCGTGGCATCGATAGATCTAGGATATAAGCATTTAGACGCCAGGTTAGGCCGACATTGAGGAGCCATGAATCACTCACAAGAAGCCGAAATCGGACATGAGAGAGTTTACGTCTGAATTCTCCCGCTTGCGCTCAGCTTTACGATATATCGCAGCCTTGATCGTAGCGAGCGAGTCTTTCCGATCCCCCGGGGCCACGGACTGGAGGCCCTCGGATTCGTGCTGAGCAACGGATGCTTTTCTCGAGCGCGCATATGCTAAGCGCCGTTCCAACTTCTCAATACGAAGTTCAAGGGCGGCAACGTAGCTGGGGACAATGAGTTTGAGTACGTATGGAGATGTGGATTTACGGTAAATGCCTCCTTACCTTCGCTCCTTGCCTCTAGCGAATTGATCGTTGGCTGCCGAACACTCATTCTCGCGGCCGGCCTTCTCGCACGCCGTACAGGCAGGCAGTTTGCCATCGCACTAACAACGTCGGCGTCAACCACAGTCAATTCGAACCTCGGGGAGACACGAATCACCTTCACTTTAGCAGCCCGGCCTACATCACTTCTTAGTCTTATCACTCTTGTATTTCAGCCTAGAATATGTGGGTGTGTGTTGCGCTTACATCTCGAACAGGCCGACACTGGGCGTGACACACGCAGCAGCGGATTGTCTGAAAAACTCGAGCGCGGCATTCTTCCAGGTCAACTGTGAACGGCTGCAAATGGTCAAGTCTTGCATAAGCTGCTGGCCTTTCTGGGCAGAGAATCAGGTAAGAATAGCGCAGATTCCAGGTGGAGTGAGCCTTAAAAGACTATAATAACATCGATGTTCAGTCTACTCGGGCTGGGATTCTGACAAGCGGCGGGGTTTTCGGTGCTGAGATTGGCCTCTGTGCCCCGCTGATGTGATGCCTCTCTCTCTGCTGGTGCGCGACTGGAATCGCAGCAAAGACGAAACAAGTCTGATACCGGGTTGTTAATTAAAAGAGAAGAAACGGTGGCTGGGCGATGCCTAAGAAAACAAAGGCTATCTTCGTTCTATGACACACTGCCTTCGAGATGATATAAGACGTGCGGTTATGCGATCTCTGCATGCGACTGTTTTTCTTCTTCTTCTTCTTTTCTTCTTCACTTCAGAGCCTCAGATCGACGGTCGAATGAGACAGGTTTTATGATGGGTAGCCGACCTAATCAGAGTCGAGGTAGGTAATATGTGCGTGGCGTGGGTCTGTGTCATCAAAAGCTCACGCACTAGAAAGGTGACTTCTTCTACTACCTAACCTAAGACGTACTGATGTATTGATGTAATGTAAGTATGTAGATAAGGTAAGGTGAGGTAAGGCAAGGCAAGGCAAGGCGAGGCAATGCAATGTAATGTAAGAAGTATGTATGTGGTACTTAGACAGGCTTAAAAGGCTAGGTAGGTAGACTATCAAATCTTCTACTACCAGACCTGCGTGGACAAGGTAAGTGGGTTAAGGGTTAAGGTAAGGCAAGTAAGGGGGAAGGGGGAAACGTGACGACGATGGCACGTACGGGAGAGTGGGGGAGGCGGTTTTTTTAGAAGAGACAAGAAAACTCAATCCTGTCTTGTTGATGGGTAACCCGGCTCTTGAAAGTGTGTGGTGCTGAGCCTTGAGGCCTCAGTAAGCTAACTGTGCTCCTCGGTGGAGTAGCATAGTAAAGTACCTTACTTACATACGGACAGAACATTTCATTTCAGGATACGTCTGGTATGTTCCGTATGACTATAGTTCCTAGACCATGTCTGTTTTATAACAGAAAACAAGGCAATGGGATCAATGAAAAAAGGGAAAATAAATCTTAGACTTGTGCAGTATTGGGTACGACTATAACTAACTACACAGACTCAATTACTTATAACATTAGTACATAAGTCCCTCTCGCGGGTGATGCGGTCTTGTTCTTTTTGTACTTACGTACGTACCTTACGTATGTTCTGTATGTAGGTATTTCATAAGTCTGGTAGATGGTGAATTTGAAATTGCCATGTCATCATTTCGCCAACTATTGACATACATACTCGCTCTATACTACTATACAGACAGACAGAATAAAGTCTCGTATTAAAAGTCTTATTATATTACAGACACATATAGGTATATATATACATATATATAGTCTAGATATGTAATTACGTACATCTATAGCGTGTTCTGCAGACCGTGAGTATTTAGAAAGCTGCCTTTCCCGCGTCCCGGCACAAGTTCCGCTTCTTATTCCCCTCTTGTTCCTAACTATCGGTGCAAGGAACTTTTTAGACGGCCAGGGGGAAGGGGGGGTCTCCCTTTCGATTGGCGTAACGGTGCAGTCCTGGCAGTGCTTATCATGAATATAGTCGCAGTGTATGACTTATGCTGGCTTGGCTGGCTCTAGCCTACATACGTAATTAACGCTCAGGTCTCCAAACGGTCGAATGGACTGTATGCACACTGCGGGCTACGTACATCAACTAAAGACTTACCATTCATGGTAGTGATCCATTTAGCCTGGCGCTCGGGGTACGACTACCTACCTAGACCAACGTACACTAAGTATGTACTGTACTAGAATGGAGTTGCTACTTAGCTAGGTAGCTAACCTAATATAGGTTAGTCTATACTGTAATTTCAACAAAAAAAGAAGTACTAATTAGTACTTATGGTGTATGTTGTATGAGATAGGCACGCCCGTAACGTAGTCAGGGCAAAATGTGGCTAAGCTGAAAGACTATGCTGCATATAGTCTGTAATAAATAGCGATTTGACCAGCAAGGATCGGTAGCTCAGCGGTAGAGCGTGGGATTGCAGTTCATTGCAACAACTATCCTAAGGTCACGCGTTCGACCCGCGTTCGGTCCTCTTTATATTTTTAAATCTGTAACCTGGAGATGCAGTCATGTTCTCGTGGAATATTATTTTTACTCTATCCCATCCCACGTAATTACCTGTATTCCACCTTGCATGTGGAAGGTTAGTATCTTGAGGTACAGGAAATACCTACGCAATGTCCGAGGACTTAGGCTAGTACTGACTACTAGACCTAGGTAACAGTTCACTTGGTCGTTCTACTTTCAAAGTAATTTAAAAGGTAGTGTAACCCGTGTAACCGTTCTAAACATCAATGATTGAGTCTAACAATGTAGTTGTGGACACAATTGTATACTTATTACCGAATTGTAATGGGGGGCCCCCTTTCCCCTCCCTCCCTTCGTCCATTGAGGATTGACCAGCCGCTGGTTTTCATTGTAGGTGGGTATCAATTGTACTCACGTTTCTTACGGACAATTCAACAATACACCGACCAACACGAAAGGAAGTAAAAATAATGAAAACCCCCTTTTTCGTTTAGGTTAATATGAAATACATATTTACTTATGAAACTACCTATCAATAATATACTACTTAGTACATCATGTAAACCCCTTTTCTTTTTCTCATTCCGGGACCGACGACGCACTTAGATACAGAGGGGTAGGTCCCAAGCATTTCCAATAATAGCGTCATCAGCAAAGCACGGTTACCGGCTTTTAACAGGGTACATAAAAGAAATCCACTCGAACAACCCGACTCTTTCTTAAGGGGGGGGGAGAGGGAGGGTCCCTCCCTCTCCTCCCACTCCTCCCAACTACCTAGGTAGGTAAGTATTGATGTATAGCTAGGTAGAGGTTGTAGTGCAATACCTACCTAATGTAACTAACTATGTAGGTAACTACATAAGGTAGGCTTTATGTGTAATCCGTATGTGTATGTACTATTGATACTTACATATTGATAGTATTGATCTACAGTACCTAGGTTAGGTACAGTATAATGTAGGTACTACCTACATTGATACATCAATACATACCAGACATACATTGATAATCGAGAACTGGACCCATGTATTTTACTACCTACTAAAGACCCCTCCCCTCAGCTTCTAGCCCTACCAAGCTTATGCTTATGTAGGTACATAATAGCATAGTGTCCCAGCTAAATCCAATGAAAGGTTCCATACCATCTTCTGGGGTTCGCCGTCGCCGTTGTAGATTGTAGTTCTACCTCAAGCTAGTACCTAACACTAATAAGGGATTCTGATTTGAAACCACCGATGAGTCTACCAGACACACATAACTGGAAGAACGGCAATGACGACAAGAGGTTTGGGATATCCTAGGTACACCATTACTACTAAGTGGACAATAACAACAACCTAAGCTTAAGTACCGAGTTGAAGATTCGAAGGAGCTACATCAAATAATACCAGACCTTTCAAGTTGTTCTTAAACAAGACAACTTGCTGGCCGTGGACCAATCGGCAGCCTCGATACATAACTCCGTTTCTCAGCGCAGCCTTACGACGCTTATGACGGCTGCAGGACTAATAAGACCGGGACTTGGGACTTGGATTGGACTCGACGAGGCGCAACTTGAACTGTCATCAATCCCAGTCTAATGCTTCCCACCTTAGATTCTCACTTCCATACTCTGGCTTGGCCCTTACCCCCCCTTGTTTTAGATACCTCAACTACTTCTTAAACTCCCCAAACTCTCAAACTTCCAAACTCCAAACAAGCAATGTTATACGGTCTCTCTTCTTTAACCATTTTCTGTTTCTAGCCATTCTCATCCAAGCCACTCATTTCTCCTCTCTGACTTTGTGGTTGCGCGCAACCGCCAATTGATCCCCCCCCCTCGTTTGAGCGGGTTAGATCAAAAGCTTTGGTCCCGCGACTCAACGGCGAAGCCGAACAAAGGAGACAACAGAAACAACACACTTGCCGATGGACGTGTCGAACATCTTCCGTCAAGTGGAGGGCTTCGGCGCTTACCCCCAACGAATTCCCCAAGGCATCCCCCCTCGGAAGGCTGTGAAAGTCGAGGATCAGGGGAACGGCGAAGCCTCGCATCGTATCGCACATACTCTTACGGCATGTTGTCGCTGTCGCCAGGTGAATACCAATCTATGCACGATGCGCATGAGCTCGACGTGCACGTCTTGATGAGAATGCAGCAATGGGACTGACTTGGGCTAAATGCAGAGAAAAACACGGTGCGATCCCACGCTGCCTCGCTGTCTACCCTGCGAACGTTCAGGCTCTACCTGTGAATATTTCGACACCACCAAGGGCAAGAAAATCAGCCGGTACTATGTTGTCAAGCTTCAGGAGAAAGTACGCGCCCTCGAGGCCGAGCTCGACCAATATACCGACGACGATGATTATCCCAAGAACCACGAAGACTTCATCCGGCCTGGGGGTCTAGTACGCTTAAGTGAATCGGACGAGACGCCCAGGTACCTTGGCCCTTCTAGCGGTATCGCCATGACACGCATCCTCATGGAAGAATCGAAGCGGTACACCGACTCGAAACGCATATCCGAGTTGATACCCGAGGTAAGAGATAGGCGGCACACCATGGGCCTGATCCCATCTGAACCGAGGTCCCAGTCCTTCAGCAGACCACCTCCGATGTCGTCTCGGAAAAAGAGCTATCCCATCCTCAGTGCTGTTGCCGCTCCCAACTTGCCGAGCAGAGGCATCGCTGATAAGCTGATGGAGGTGTTCCATCAACGCGGTGAGCTAACCTAGCACCTCCAGATGTTGTCATGACAAGACACCTAATCATTTTGTTTCCCCCTCTTTTAGCGCAAGTCTTCTGTCCTACACTTCACGAGAGGGTACTAGCAGAGGCAATCGACGATGTTTACAATGGCGGTCGAGACTCGTACCAGAATTTCATCGTGAGATTGGCGATGGCGATAAGTATGCAGAAGCTAGACACGACCTACGCAGGTCTCGCGGACAGTTATTATCTTGCGGCGATGAAGTATTTCGAAGATGTTGTCCGACCGAAGGATTTGAAGACGCTTCAATGTCTCATCCTCGTCGGTCAATATTCGCTTCTGACGCCTACTCGTACAGCTGTCTACTACATCATCGGGCTCGCGACGAGAATATGCCAACAGTTGGGTCTTGCAGATGAGAAGACGATTACCCTAAACGCCAACGATCCTATGACATTAGATATGCGACGGCGACTAAGCTGGGTCGTGACCTGTATGGAATTCGGCTTAGCACAAAGCATGGGCCGGCCTAATGGTTTCGCTAAGACCAACGACCTGGTAGACGTCAAGTTCTTCGAAACCGTACCTGATGCAAATATATCTGAGAACGGAATAATCCCTGGGCCCCCGGACGAGAAGAAGCTGGTTGCTATCCATTTTTGCAAAATGCGACTGCTCCAGGCTGAGATTCGTAGAGTCTTATACGAGAAGAAACTCCCCGAGCCTAGAAGTGACCGACATCCCTGGTTCATGCAGATGGAGGCAAAGATGGATGAATGGCTGAGGTCCTCGCCTGAAAATCCCCCGTGGTGCAAGCCATGGTATGTCCTATACATTTTACAACCCATCGAAGGGCACTAAAGACTGACATCATAATAGGTTTACTGGAAGATACCATACCATGATGGTGACCCTCCACAGGCCATCTCCCCAAGTTCCGAAACCGTCAGTCCAGTCAGCTCAAAAATGCTTCGATTCGGCTGCTTTTGTGGTCAACATCTCAAGCAAACAGATGATGGCGGCTGCGGTCGACATCACATGGGTATTCCTACTCACGCTATACATGTCCTTGAACACTATTCTATGGACAGTGACATATCCAGATATTCGAGCACAACATAGTAGGGAGGAGGTTCAGGAACTAATAAATATTGCGCTAGATATCGTAGATCAATGTGTTGAGCGGTGGCCGGGGACCTCGGCAGCTTCTCAGCTGTATTCTACCTTTGCCAAAGCTTGCCTCCAGAGTTATGAATCAAATGAAACTCCGGGTCTATCCAACTCGAGCTCTTACGGTACACCGCCATCACAGACAGACCCTAATTCTCCTTCGACCTCAGATGCGTCCAGTGCCACACCCATGGCGAAGACAGGAGGCTCGGGATTCAATCCTCCTCACTTTGGCTATGTCTTTGGCTCGACCCCTGAAGAGATGAACTATAGCCGTGACAGCTCTTTTCCACCACAGCCCACATTTAGATCGAATTCGATCTTTCTTAACCCGGCCTCTGGCGATGTTACTGGGCGTAGGTTTAGCTATTTCCCTCCAGACTTCACCCAAATCGATCCACCCCCAGAGGACATCAGTCCACCAGCCTCAGAGATCACCGCCGTCTCTCCGCCATTTTTATCCCCGCCGCAGCATTTACCAACACCTCCGGAATCGATACCTCCAAATTCTATAACTACTCCTACCATGAGCACGCCGATCCTAGCCACTCCCTTGCTCTCCACTCAGAGCCTACCGCAGAGTTCCCCGGCAGAGACAGTCGTATCCAACGGGTATTCTCAGCAGCATCGTCCGCACCCAGCTCCTTTTACCATCCCCCCTCTACCACCTCAGCATCATCTACCAGGCCAACGCCCATTGCCGCAGGCGACGACAGTCACAGATTGGTTCAATCCACCACCGCCGTTCATATCTCCCTACGCATTCGGTGGCATGGGCGGAGGTTTCTGGGGTGATACACACAATTCTAGGGGCTTTGGCGGAATGGATACTGGAAACATGGGCTTCCCCGATGGGTTACCGTCAGAAAGACAAGGGAGCTTGAGCCAGGCACAGCAGATTGAACTGATGGATGTTCTCGAGAACGAAGGCATGATGGACATCGACATGTGTTTGAATATGGGCATCTCTTACGGGAACAACAATATAGACGGCTCAAATCTAGTCATGGACTGGGGAGGGGGGAGACATGCTTGAATCCGATTTACGACTATTTTTCATTTTCAGCATTATAGGCTTCATGGAGCAGGTTCAATGTCATTGTTGGTTTTTTTGGTGGTTTTTTGGTTTATAAGATTACGGCAG